TCCAGCCTAAGAATTGTAGTTATGTCTGGCGTAGTATTCTATGTAGTCAATCTCTGCTTAAGAAAGGAGTTCAATGGATCGTGGGAAATGGGAAACAAATTCAAGTTTGGAAAGACAATTGGATACTCACTAATATACCTAGACCAACTTCAGGAACTGGATTTTACATGCAACCCAATTTAACAGTTAATGAGATTTTTTATCCTGAATCAGGTACTTGGAATGTTCAGAAGATTGAAGAAATGGTAGATGAAGAAGACTCCCAACTGATACAGAAAGTACGACCAAGCATAACCAATGTAAGTGATACCCTACTCTGGATACACTCTAAGGATGGAGAATATAGTGTAAAATCAAGATATTGGATACAACATTCTCTACAAAGTCAAAATGATCAAGGAGAGGATATCAAATCTCTTAGTAGATCAGTATGGAAACTGAATGCTCCACCTAAAATCAAGCATTTCTGTTGGAGAATAGTCCATTCTAGTAGCCTTGGGCTTAAAAATTTGGCCATTAGAGGACTTAAAGTGGATCTGAAATGTATATTGTGTGGGCAAACAGATGAGACCACTAACCATCTTATGTTCCAATGCAGAGTTTCAAGAGAGATTTGGGAGATAACGCCTCTTGCTACACCATCAGGTGATACTTTCTTATCAAACTCTCTCTTCCAAAATTTGGGGTTCTTCTTAAAAGATGCAGGTCAAAGGAATTACCCATATCATTTATTTCCTTTTATTCTGTGGAGCATATGGAAAATGAGGAATAAATTATTGTTTGAAAATTACCGGCAAAGTATTCCTCATGGTATTAACAGAGCTTGTATGGATCAAACTATGAGGTTAGAGGCAGCCACCTGGCAAAAGAGGAGAATTCCAACTTCTAACCCCGACTGTTCTTTCAAATGCTTTGTAGATGCGTCCTGGTTTTCGTCACAAGACCGAGCAGGTATAGCTTGGAGTCTAACCAAGGACAGCAAACAAATCATACAAGGATCAGCTTCAATACCTCCTAGCAATTCTCCATTCGAAGCAGAAGCAGAAGCATTGAGAATAGCTACCTTGGAGATGCAAAGATTAGGCTATAAAGACGTTAATTTCAAAGGAGATGCCAAACCTCTGTACGATATTTTTGGGCAATCTTCTGAAGGGAAGACTACATGGTGTGATAAATCCATAATCATCTATGTAAAAGACATAGCCTCAGTAGCTAAGTTGCATGACTATAGGTTTTCTTATGTTTCTCGACGGGTATTAGCTAACGTAGATTCTCTAGCTAAGATTGGTAGAATAAGAAATGCTCCGAATGTAATAAAGTGGAAAATGGGCTAATGTTGTGATGTATAATGATATGGATG